AGGGCACAGGCCAGGCTGGGGGACCCCTCCCCACACCAGAGTGCACAAATTTTATGCACCGGGCTTCTAGTTTATATATAAAAGCCCAGCGAACGAACGGCAGAACGACCAGAATGACTGGTCAACCAGTTGCTATGATGTGCACTGACCACTAGGGGGCAGACACTCAATGCAGGAGCTGTCCCCTGGTGGTCAGTGCACTTCCACAGTGGGAGTGCCACTTGGTTGACCAGGATGAGTGGCACTCCCACAGCGGGCTGATCCCCACAGGGTCCACCCCCCACCAGTGCATGAATCCATGCACTGGGCCTCTAGTATAATAATAAATGGAGAGAAAAAAAGAAAAGAGAATGCTGCCACCTTTTCATTGTCTGTAACAACTATGCAAATATGCCTTTAAATGGAAAATAAAACCAGGAAGAATACCAAAGTACTTAGACCTCACTTGTGTTAAGGTGGGAGAATTATAGGTAATTTTTCTCCCCTCTACTGTCCACATCCAGTGTGAAATCATTATTTTACATTTGCTATTGACACAGTTGAAGTCCCTTTTGTCTCACTCCCCAGTCCCATTTCTCTTTCTCCCTTCCCAGAGGCAACTCCAGCTGGGAATGCAAGAGTGGATTCATTTAGTATATTTCTTACACTTTAGCTACAAACTCACATATCTGTTAAAGGTATAGTATTTTACATCTATACTAATAAAAGGGCAATATGCTAATTAGACCAGATAGACCAGACGTCTTCTGGACATCATTCCAGACATCCTTCCTGACAAAACCGGGGCCCGGGCGAAGGAGGGAAGCTGGGTCCCAGGTGTGGGGGCAAGGCAGAGGTGGTTAGGAGTGATCATGCAGGCAGGCAAGCAGTTAGGGGCAATCAGGCAGGCAGGCAGAGGCGGTTAGGGGCAATCAGGCAAGCAGGTGAGTGGTTAGGGGCGATCAAGCAAGGCAGAGGTGGTTAGGAGCGATCATTCAGGCAGGCAAGCAGTTAGGGGCAAACAGGCAGGCAGGTGAGCAGTTAGGGGCAATCAGGCAAGCAGGTGAGTGGTTAGGGGCGATCAAGCAGGCAGGTGAGTGGTTAGGAGCCAGTAGTCCCAGATTGTGAGAGGGATGTCCAACTGCTGGTTTAGACTGGTTTAGGCCTGATCCTGGTAGTCGGACATCCCCTGAGAGGTCCTGGATTGAGAAAGGGTACAGGCCAGGCTGAGGAACCACCCCTCTCCCTGTGCACAAATTTTGTGCACCGGGCCTCTAGTTTTTGTATAAATGGCATCTTATTTTAACCTTCTGCAACTTGAGTTTTTTCCAAAGCTGTGTTTTCATATTATACTAGAGGCCCAGTGCATGAAAATTCATGCACACGGGGGGTCCCTCAGCCCAGCCTGCGCCCTCTCACAGTCTGGGACCGGTGGGGACTGCCCACCTGCTGGCTTAGACCTGCTCCCTGAGAACAGATGATCTAAAAGAAATAATCATATCTTAGGGTAAGGATTTATCAAAAAGGAAATGGTCACATGAAAATTCACTGCCAGTGGGGCTGAGGGGACTGAGGGACTCCGTCATCAGGTGTGCGGCACAGCCAGGCCTGCCTGGGGGTGAGCCCGGCTGCACTGTGTGCCTGCCACCCCCCAGCAGGGCTGAGGGGTCTGGGCATTGCCATCTTGTGGCTGTGGGTGCCACCATCTTGTGAGGACATGATGGTCAATTAGCATATTACCTCTTTATTATATAGGATGTTAATGCATGTAAGTCTAGTTTATTCATTCCATTTACACATTGCCTATATTTCTTTATATAAACAACATATCATAGTATGTTCACATATTCCCTTAATGAGGAACATGAAGGTGGTTTTAAATTTTCAACCTTTCAAATGATGCTGCAACAATCATCCTCATATATTTACAGGTAAATATGAGCAAGTTTCTCTAGGTTGTTTTTTTTTTTAACTTAGAGTTAGAAGGGCTAAACAAGAGTAAATAAACAATTTTAGTTTTGGTAGGTATTGAAAAATTATCCTCTAAAATAGTTGTTCCAATTCATATTCTCAATCCTGTATGAAGAGTTCCTGTTTTCCATATTCTTGCTAAATGAGATGTTTTTCAAACTTTAAGATTCTTGCTAAATTGAAGGGTGTGGAACCAAACTCTCATTATCTTGACTTCTATTTCCCCAGTTACTGTGAAGTTGTGAATTTACTTATAAACTATTTAGTTGTTTGCTTCTGTGATATCTACCATAATGTTTTGTCCAATTTTCTATTGGTTTCTTTGTCTTTCTATTGCAGGAGTTCCTAATAGAGTTTACATATTAACTCTTTTTGTTCCACTTTTCTATTGTGACATTTTTGGAGGTTAATCTAGTTAAGAAAGTTTTACCTGGAATGCTTTCTTGCATCTATTAAAATAATCTGAGTGGGGTTTTATTTTCTCTTTCATTGTTTCAGTATAATTAATTGCAATGACAGATTTTCTGATGTTAAGTCATCCTTGAAGTCTTGGGGAAATTTTAGTTGTTTTTATTACTGATTAATTCATTTTTCTACTATTTTATTCGAGCTAAAATGTCTTAAGTGAGATTGGGCTATCTTTTTCTTTCATTGTTTGGTCATCTTGTGGTTTTCATATCAAAATTATTCTTTCATTTTAAAATGAGTAGCATAGCTTTTCCTTTTTTTCCCCCTCTGAAACTAGTCATTAAACCTCATCACAGATGGGTAGAATGTGGAGGTGGGTAGGGGGGACTGTGGGTTTGTGCACTGTTTATTCAAGCCCTTTTATGGTTTATTGGCCTATCCATCTTTCTATTTTTTCTTTAGTCCCTGTGATAATTTTATATTTCTCACTAAATTTGCTGATTTTCTCTAGATTTTCAAACTTATTGGCAGAGAACTGATCATAACATCCTCATAGATTTCTAAGAACCTGAAGCTATCCCCAGTTTTGTCCTCTTTTTTACCTCTACTCTGTGGTTGTGTGTGTATACCTTTTCTCATTTTCTTGAACAGTCATGCTAAAGTATGGTCAACTATTAATATACCTACCTAAGCTTTCTTTATGGTTAGTATTTGGTTTGGCTCTCTTTCCCATTCATCAATGCCAGCGCTTTGGTTTGTCTGTTGCTTTATAGCAGCATTAGCTGGATTTTTAAAACAGCAAGTCAGATAATCTATATTTTATTAGAGTAGGTTCATCTCTGCATTCTTATGATTCTTGATCTATTTGGACTTTTTCCCATTATATTTCATGTTTTAAATTTACTATGAAATTTCTTTACTTGGATTTTTTTCCTTCCTTTTCTGCCTTCTTAAACATTTAAGTTTTCTTATTGCATATTTTCCTTCTACCGGGTGAGAAGTTAAATATTCTGTTTCAATCTTTTTTAGTGATTACAGTTAAATTTTGACATCTACAATTAAGTCTGATGTTAGTCAAAATCTCTACCCTGCTCCTAAACAATATAAAGACCTGAAAGTAATTCTCATAGCTTCCTCTCACCATCATATTATTATTTAATATTTTAATTCCATTTTATTCTTTTTTAAAATATGTTTTATTGAATTTTACAGAGATAGGAAAAGAGAGAGAGAGAAACATCGATGAGAGAGAAACATCAATCGCTGCCTCCTACATGGCTCCCACCAGAGATTTGAGGCTGCAACCTGGGCATGTGCTCTGACCAGGAATCGAACCAGCAACCTCTGGGTACATGGGTCGATGCTTAACCACCCACACTGGCTGGGCCATTTTATTCTTAATTAACACTGCCTTTATAATTATTCAAAGTGTGTGTATACATTTTTGGGGATTGTGTGTGTGTGTGTGTTGAACCTTCTCATTCTATCCTCCCTACTGTTAACTTTTCCTTTAATATTTTTCATCTGTTAATCTCTCTATGCTACCTTCTGGGTAACTTCCTCAGATTTAACTAGTTCACTAATTCTCTCTTTTGCTGCACCCAGTCTACTTTTCAACCTATACATTAAAATTTTTATTTTAAGAACTATATTATTTCTATAACTTCTTTCTCCTATCTCCTGTACATGTTTTTTTCACACCCTCTAATGGCTTTTGTCCCTCGCTTTATTTCTTTGAACACATAAAATGTATTTATGTTAAAGCCACATTCATATAATTCTGCTATTTAATTCTCCTGAGTTATATCTTCCGACTATCTATGGTGGCTCCTTTCCTGGTGGGGTGTGCAGTTGTGACTAAAAGCTTGTTTGTAGTGGGAACTGTTTCTTTAGAAATCATAGGTGTCCAAGGATATGGAAGTATGTTTACCAAGTAATTTCAGAGTTGCTTTAGCAGAGGGTAGGGCTGCATTTCAAGCACCCTTTTGGCTTTGCATCTTAGAACTACACAGACAGTCTGCATCTGGAACCCACACCTGTGCAAGTTTCTGGTATCTCATGGGGACCCTCTTTTAGCTCTAATGGCCATTGTCAGGCAGCAGTCTTCCTGCTCAGAACCTAGGAGAGTGCACCAATAGTTTTAGAACTCCTTTTGCAGATGGGATGGCATTTTGTGACTCTGGACTTCATGCTGATGGCTCAGTTTCAGCTTCCCATTTAGATGAGGCCTGTGGCTCAGACATAACTTCCAACTCAGACCTTAGGTCCCCAGTCGACCAGTCGCTAAGATCTTTCTTTATTTGGTTCCCATTTGCCTCTGAGTCCCTTGGTTACAGTTCTCATTTACATCTTTAATTGTGAGTTTCCTCTTGATGTCTGGCACCTGGAGATTTTTACCTTACTGATGTCTAGATAAGTTAGGTGTTCTTTGTATAAGTATTTGCATTGTTATATTTTATCCAGAATTCCTATGTCTTTAGATCAGGGATGATGTGCCTTCCATGTCTGCTCAGGTTACCATATTGTCCAGACATACTTATATTACCTCTCTAATGAGGAAAAAATACAAAAAAGTTTTACAATACAAAACGTTTAAAGAAACATTTTATTTTGACTAACCTTCTTTTCTCCATGCTTCTCAGTGCTGAAGTTGAAGAACCACATAATTATGAGGCAATAATTCCATATCTGAGACATTCTGGCAACTCCATTAACCTGCGCACTGCAAAAGAAATCGCTGGTTGTAAGTCTGCTAAGCCAATTAATATTAAAACCCCGTGTGGAATGAAAATGTGTCAAAAATGGTATTTTCTCCCCACTGACTATGAAGTTAAACATCCACAACCATGCTGCTTTACCATATAATCCCCCCCTCCTTTGTCTAGTCTCTTACAAATATAAATGCATCCAGTTGGGTATGTGTGCTATCTCAGGACTCAGCACTGCCTTCTCTCTGCTCTCTTCTGGCCTTTCTTCACTGATCTAGATGCTTTGCCTTTTGTCGCTATGTGGGAGGGAAAGATCGAGATATGGCGATTCATTTTTCTTCCTTGTCCTATTCAACCTTCATCTCTCTTCTTGCAATGTCTTTAAGATAATGGCGATGCATTTTTCTTCTTTGTCTTCCTATTCAACCTTCATCTCTCTTCTTGCAATGTCTTTCCTGAAGTCCCTGAAGCTTCATGTATGGAGAGGAAGATAACAGACCATGGGAATTAGGTCCCTTTTGAGTTTAGCCTTGATAGGAGCATAGGATTTATTTAATGGCTCTGACCAATGGTTCAGAGTTACGTCTTCCTGCCTCTGGTATCGCCAAAAAAGCTCAGACTTTTATGTGAAAAAAGAGACCCTTTCAGGGAAGAAGATGAAGAAGCAGGGACTCATAGCAATTCCACAAGTTTCTATGTCTCTGTTCTGCCTGTAGGATCAGTCAGTTCTCTATGAAAGGCGTACATGTTGGTGCCAGAATAAACACTAGCATTTACTGACCTTGTGTGATGGGTCCCAGTTCTGTGTTAGGTCTTCTGTGTACATCCTGCTGATAGGGTGATTTTTAACCCACTTTGAGAGATGGGAAACTCAAGGTCAGATTGAGTAACCAAAGTCACATAAGGGCTATGTGTAGAGCTATAATGTGAAATGGGCTCAGACTGCCTCTGAGATCCACGCTCTTCCCACCACTTTATGTTGCTTCTCCTTCAAGAAGGTTTTTATTCTCCCCTCTGATAGTTGTCCTCTTCTCCCAGCTGGGATGCTGCTGTTCAGTGGAGAATGTTATCTAACTCCGCGTGAAATGTGAGCAAGGACTCCAGTGCTGTAGGTTCCTAGTCCCTTCCTGACCCTCTGGGGTCCAGCCCTTTGAACTTTACATTTCTATCTCGGGAGCAAGTTTTGATGGCAAGACTTACTATTAAACTTTTTTAAAAAGCAGCATTAAATTATGAATGTGTTATTAACTGTGCATGCATTACCCTTTTTTGGTAGTCCTCCACTCCACCAGTCAGGCTATAGAAGGAACTGTATCACCCTTTTTTATTGGCCTTGTCAAGTAAGGTATCTTTGAGCCTTGGTTGCCCCATATCTAAGACAGAATCCTAATATCTCCCCCACCCAATGGCAAGGAGAAGCAAAGAAACCATGATTTGTTAATTCTTTAAATAAATATATATGGTAAATAAACTGGAGGAAGGAAAGAAGGTATTTTTTTAATTGGAAAAAATATCCATACTTTGAATGGATGAGGCCATCTGTGTCATAAGCGGTCATTTTAAATGTATTAATAGCTAAACAAAGTTTTTAAAGCAAGTAATAGCAGAATGTTTGATTCAAAAACCAGTAAAAATAACAGTGTACAATTACCCAAGTTGACTTACATATTATTAATCATCCACCCAGAATTTTAGGTCTGTGTGTCAACAATCCCATGTGGGTAGTCCCTATGGAAAACCTAGGGTTTCCTTTCCTTTAAGAATGGGTTGTATGTTTAGAATCATTATGGCTTAAGAATGCAACATGACGTTTGGTCAGTTTTCTAAACTAAAGCTTCAGGACTCTAGCAGAGAGAGGAAAAAAAGAAATGGGGAGGGGAGGTCCTACTCATTATGCACTCATTAACAGTAAGGGAAAACTTTTATAGATAACTTTTAAGCAAAAAAACATCAAACTAGTAATTTTATAAAAAATAAAAAATAAATAAAAAACACATCACTTTCTATACAACAGTGACCTGCTAGGTATGTTAAGTTTCTTACATCAACTCCTTTAATCTTCCCATTATCTCTGTATGGCAGATACCAACTGACCCCATTTCATAGATGTGTAAGCTGAGGTTCAAAGAAATGAAGTAATGTGTTTGCAATCCCACAGGTAGTATCAGGACTGGGTTTTGAACCCAAATTCTTGCCACTACTTGTGTTTGTTAGGTTGGCATCATGTCATTAAATAAAATCCACAAAACTATTGAAAAAAATCAAAAGGTCTTCCAGCCTGAGTTGTGGTCCGACTCCTCTTTTCAAGCTGCACTAAGAAACTTGAGATGGGTGGGAGAAAACACTTTTAGACATGCTATGGCAGTCATTTTGTTGAAATGGGATGTAGACTGTTTCTGACTTTTTCCCCCTTTCCTTTTAAGTTTGTCTTCTGAGTGCTACCACTCAATTTAAGTGATTTCTCTTAACACATTAAGCACCCAGTCAGTCACCGGTGACAGACACTACACTTTCCATCTGGAAGACAAAACAGGCTGGGCACTTAATGTCTTAATCATAGGGAAGGAATGTATTTACCCAAACAGGAAACTCAAAATTGTTTCAAATGTTTTCATTGATTGTACATTCCATCCTGGAAATCCCCACGAAACTAGAACTGTGATCACTGACCCCGAACTTCCCAAACCACCTTGATAAAGCCTTACATAGATCCGTGTGAAGGTGGAGAACACTGAACTCTGGTCTTGCATAATTGATTTCACACTGGGTACTGTATGAATCTGGTACTATAAGGAACTGCCTTGAAATCATTCTTTTTCATCTTTATTTTAGCAACTTATGAAGTTGGAATTGAAGAACTCCAAAAGGTATTGTTTTCTCTCTTCTTTATTTTAAATATATGTATTTTTATTGATTTCAGAAAGGAAGCGGGGGAGAGAGAGAGAGAGAGAGAAACATCAATGATGAGAGAGAATCGCTGATCAGCTACCTCCTGCACACCCCACACTGGGGATTGAGCCCACAACCTGGGCATGTGCCCTGACCAGGAGTCAAACCTTGACCTCCTGATTCATAGGTCAATGCTCAACCACTGAATCACGCTGACCGGGCACTTGTTTTCTTCTTAACAGCTTTCTAACTAAAACAGTGTGCAGAGTTGATTCTGAAGAAGTTTTGATTAGGAGGGAGAAAATGTCCTTGTTGTCAGTTTTCCCCTGATGTCTGAGGCTCTCAGACTCCAGCTGATAAGGTTCTGAAGCCTGAGCTCCAGTGTCAGAGACAGAAGATGTGTGATGGAATGGGAAACGCTGATCCTTATCCACTCCTAGCCCCTCATCTTTGGCGCCCAACTGGCTTTTACTTACTGTCTCTTCAGGGGGGAAGATGTCTCTGGCACAAGACAAATTTGCACATCCCAGGCTTTCACAGACTGCCCAAACCTTAAAGGCACATCCTCTGGCCTCCTGGTAGGCACAGTGCCAGGTGACTCCTTGGAGGCAGTGTAGCAACTTGATTAGGGCCCAAGCACAATCCTTGGCCTTGATCCCAGCCGCTGGCTGTGCAGCCTGAGCCTCCATTTCCTCACCTGTAGAACGGAAGTAACAGAAATGCCCACCGCTGGGATCGTTGTGAGAATGACTATAAGATAAATTCAGATACACAGTTTAAGAGCCAGTGCCTGGAGTCTGGTCCATGCATATGGTCTCTCCCAGCTCCCATTGTATCTTCTGTAAAATGGTGTGTTCTCCAAGAGGGCAGGACTCGCATGCCTCTGGTTATCACACCTGCAGTGGCAGATGTCAGTGCAGAAGGGGCCTAGTACGTGTCTCACTAAACTTCTGTGAGAACTAAGTGAGATAGAGGAGGTAAGCACCCAGCACTGCAGGTGGCACACAGTAGGCACTCACCTAACGCTGCGACTAGGTTCATTAGGGTTCTACTCTTTTCTCACTGGGTACCATAAGTCTAGAGCCTTTAACTTTCTGCTCCAGTTTTCTGGGCTTACTGCGCATGCCTGTGGTTACCACACCTGCAGTGGCAGATGTCAGTGCAGAAGGGGCCCAGTACGTGTCTCACTGAACTGTGAGAACTAAGTGAGACAGAGGAGGTAAGCACCCAGCACTGCAGGTGGCACACAATAGGCACTCACCTAACGCTGTGACTAGGTCCGTTAGAGTTCTACTCTTTTCTCACTGGGTACCGTTAGTCTGGAGCCTTTAACTTTCTGCTCCAGTTTTCTGGGCTTACTGGAAAGGACTGCTCACCTAGAAAACTCTAGGTGGTTATTATTCCTACTAGCGAGCGCAGGAGCATTCTATTAAAATGCTTCCCTTACCTGGCAGCGTGGGCAAATAATCAGCTTCTCTGTGCAGTGCGCTCTCTGAAGGACCAAATTGTTACCCTCACAAAATAAAGCAGCGTGAACATATTCTTCATTTTTAACTAAAACTTTCAGCCTTCAGACATGTTTATGTTCATCTCAGGATTTTCTCTCCTGGTGGCTGGAAACTGCTGTCACCCTTCCCTGGTGATGGGAGTGCAGGGGGCTGAGTGGACAGTCCACGCTCCTAAGAGATGCTCTTGGGCCCCTGCAGGTGCGCAGACCAGTTGCCCTCACACAAACCACCACAAGTCTGTGCTGTCATCGTCTTCTGGCGATTGTCATTTCTTTCTACTCTCACTATCTCTGTGTCTATCAGTGACTCCCTCGTGTGCTCAGGTGGGTATGGACCAGGTCTGTGTATGCCAGGCACTGGTGTATACATGGTAGGACTTCATCCACAGCATCAGTGGTGAGCGGGTACACTGCTTCCACTCTACAGGTGAGAACTCGGGGCCCGGAGGGGCTCTGGAACCTGTAATAACAGAGCAGAGATCTGAGATGAGGTCCGTCTCCCTGGTCCTACCAGTGCTGCCATCCGAGTGGCTAGATGATACAGGAAAGAGAAACCAGTGGGCCCTGAATGAAGGCCTGGGTGTGCTGAGCTACTGGGCCTGGACTATGTGGCAGCATTTTGGATACTGGGATAGTCTCTGTTTTCTTCAAGTTCTTGGCTAGATTCCAAATACGGAATGGCACCAGCACTGTGATGAGTAAATACATGAGGACTGTGTTGTCATCAGTGGGACACAGTTTTCATGGAGTCAAACCCAGACCACGGTGGAGTTGAATTTGGATCACTGGGTGCGTGATCAATGCGGGAGAATTCCCAACATGACCTGCACACTCTCCAATTTGTCCACTGAAATACTGTATTGCTCAAATATTACAAATGTGTACTTCCTCATATGATTTAAAAGTTTTCTATTCTACAGATGCATTCCTGGAAAGGTATGCAGCAAACTGTTTATTTTTCTATGTGAAATCATACATTCCCGCTGGCATACACTCATTTCAGAAATGCTTGTTTTCTTTTCGGATTGACCTTCAGCTCCACTGGGAACAGTGCATGGAAGTTTCTGTTGTCAGTGTCTACATTTGCTTGTGCTGAGATCTCACCCACCTCTCCTTGCAGTCTGGTCTCTAATGATCTGTAACCAAGCAGAGACCTGGTTGATGAGGGTGGGTTTATGAAAATGACCATTTTCCTCTTTACTTTCAGCCTTGGAAGAGTTTCCTCCACCAAGAACATAGGTGAGTTTTATCTTCAAAAGGAAAGGGAGTAATCCAGCCCCTGACGACTGAACTAGTGTCTCCGATGGCACAGCTCTGATTCCAGTGTCTGACCTGGCTCAGCACCTCGGGGCCTGGCCAGGCACCGGGTGCAGAGAAGGTGCTCAGGGACCCGTCCCTCTCGCCTTGCTCCAGCCCACGCTGCTGTCACTCAGCAAACACAGCACATGGGAGCTATTTTCGAGCCACTGGGGCTTTAGCAGTTACGGAGGCCTCGCCACTCTCCTCAGAGACTCCTGGATTAGAGGAAGTGTCACGTAATCCAGCAGGCATGGAACCATCATGGGAATCCCCAGGAACTTAACATTTCCCAAGCCCACCATGCGGTCTCAAGTCCCTTTGCCTTTGCCCATTTAATTAACTCTCCCCAACTTAATGATCTGGCAAACGCCTACTGACCATCAAATGTCCCTTCTACAAGAAGCCTTCCTTGATTCCCCTCCTCCAGCGAGGGGTAACCAGTCCCTTCCCTGTGGAACCACTATCTGTAAGGTACCCATGAGTTTGCACTAGTGTCAATGTGTGTTGTGTTTGTTAGCATGCCTGTTGATTTTCACCCTCCTGCCCACTCTCTTGCTGTGAGCTACTTGCGGGCAAGGCCCATATTTCCTTGTTCTTGGTGTTCCTGGCCCAGCTCAGTTTGAATGAGACACATTTCAAGTGTTCAATAGCCACATGTGGACTGTGACCACTGTATTGGATGGTGCAAATTTAGGCTTTGTCTGGTAGGTCAGGGAGAACCATGAAAGAGTTTCAAAGCGGAGATAATGCACCCTCTCCCCATAATATTATTCCTGTAAATCACAATATTAAATGTGTGGAAACTCCTGGACAAGGTCTGGGGGATAGGAAGATGGATTACAAAGGACATGTATGTCAATAAGGCAAGTAAATGCTTTAGAGCAGGGGTGGGGAATGTCTGGCCCGAGGGCCGTATATGGCCCTCAAAATCATTTGGTCTGGCCCTGCCAAGACATTAGGAGTTACTTACTTAAATGTTTGACCAAATATGGCAGGCTAATTTTTAAGTTGATAATTTTGTATGGCTCGTGAATGATGTTATAAATAAACAAATGGCCCTTGGCAGAAAAATGGTTCCCCAGCCCTGCTTTAGAGGCAATATCAATAATTGCAATGGGAACAAAAGAACTGGGTGATTCTAACTCAGCAAATGCTTTGATGAAGAAGAAGGCATGCTATAAACAATGTGTAACCAGTCCCTTCCCTGTGGCACCACTATCTGTAAGGTACCCATGAGTTTGCACTAGTGTTAATGTGTGTTGTGTTTGTTAGCATGCCTGTTGATTTTCACCTTCCTGCCCACTCTCTTGCTGTGAGCTACTTGCGAGCAAGGCCCATGTTTCCTTATTCTTGGTGTTCCTGGCCCAGGTCAGTTTGAATGAGACACATTTCGAGTGTTCAATAGCCACATGTGGACTGTGACCACTGTATTGGATGGTGCAAATTTAGGCTTTGTCTGGTAGGTCAGGGAGAACCATGAAAGAGTTTCAAAGCGGAGATAATGCACCCTCTCCCCATAATATTATTCCTGTAAATCACAATATTAAATGTGTGGAAACTCCTGGACAAGGTCTGGGGGATAGGAAGATGGATTACAAAGGACATATATGTCAATAAGGCAAGTAAATGCTTTAGAGCAGGGGTGGGGAATGTCTGGCCCGAGGGCCGTATATGGCCCTCAAAATCATTTGGTCTGGCCCTGCCAAGACATTAGGAGTGACTTACTTAAATGTTTGACCAAATATGGCAGGCTAATTTTTAAGTTGATAATTTTGTATGGCTTGTGAATGATGTTATAAATATCCAAATGGCCCTTGGCAGAAAAATGGTTCCCCAGCCCTGCTTTAGAGGAAATATCAATAATTGCAATGGGAACAAAAGAACTGGGTGATTCTAACTCAGCAAATGCTTTGATGAAGAAGAAGGCATGCTATAAACAATGTGAGGCTTTCAACACTTTTATCACATTTCGTTCTTATGGCAACCATGGAAATTGGCATTGTGACCTTTCATTTATACATGAGAAAATTTGATTTTTAGGAAGGTTAATCTTAGACTTAGAAAGAGGGACAGTGGGAATTAGAACCCAGTCCTCATTTCACAGTCCCTGTTCATCACAGGAAAACCAGTAAATGCTTCAATGGTGAACAAGAGTGCTGAGTAATTAGATGAGTGAATGAAACTCCTTAAAACTCTTTCCCTCCCTCATCTATCAGAACAGCACTCTTCTGGTGTTTTTCCCTTCTTCATGCCCACCTCTTCTTTCATTGGAGGGCCCTTCTTTCTCTGCCTTCCATTGAAACATGGTTGTAGAACCATCTAGTTCAGCTGTGGGCAAACTACGGCCCGCGGGCCGGATCCGGCCCTTTTGAAATGAATAAAACTAAAATAAAAAAGGCCGTACCCTTTTATGTAATGATGTTTACTTTGAATTTATATTAGTTCACACAAACACTCCATCCATGCTTTTGTTCCGGCCCTCCGGTCCAGT